CAGTACACTAGGTATGGTCATACATATATATTTTATTAAATTTCGATACTAATAATAATCATGTACTCACTATTGACTAGCTTCAAAACGAATTCTCTGCAGTTCTAGTGAGAAGCAGTGACCGGTGGAGTTCAAGCCCTATCGGGTGTAAGACAGTTATCCAACTGAGATAAATAAATGTTCCACTTAATTTAATTTATTATTTACTTAAATCATTGACAATATTTAAAAACACTGAAATCATTAAAAAAATGTTGGGAATCAAAAATTATTCAATTGACCAGTTATAATCAACGCAAAGACGATCTGATATAAATGTGTAACAGTTTAAATGAATACTGAACTAGTATAATGTATTAACTAATACATTTACAGATTCTTTTAAGAAGTTGTTATTTTAAAAGTTGAATTCATGAGTCAATCTAAGCTAGACCAGCATCGAAAACCTGGAAGCATTGAAAGGCCGTTTCGTCCTAGTACGAGACTCCTTAGCAGTGAGCATCCACGATCCCGCACGTGGTATTTGAATGTGGAACGTTCGGTCACACACGTAAATGTTAATCCTGTAGACCACTGAGCTGGGATTAAGTGGTGCTAATGTCTAACTTTGATCAATACATGATCTTGCACAACCCTCCATGCATTATCTGAGGTGTATAACTCTCTCCACCCGACACGGATTGAACTCCACTAGTTACCGCTTTATATATATTATATTTTATGTTATATTTTTATTGCATATGTTCGGATTTGATTTTTTCCGTTGTTAATGTTAATAGCTACAACTAATTAGTCCCTTTTTGGCGTATGTACATACTGAGAGAACTGCCTCAACATTGCCATTACGTCACAATCATTCTTAAGAGAAGTTTGTTAGTAGTTAGCAATGGAATTCACAACTAAGCCAGGACATTAACACAAGAAAACAGGCATATCCAGCTGGTGAGTCCCAAATATGAAGAAACACACGCAATAGATACTAATTCAGGCTGCTGTTGAACTTCACTTATATATTTACATTTTCTTATTAAAGAATGTCAAAACAAAACCATCAAGGATTCTTCATCGTACAAATCGATTAGGTGATTATGTGCTGTACAATTTTAATCAAATTTCAAACTACGGTACATTTATCTATCGGTGATGTCTCGAAAGTCAAATTTACTGAATCATCAAACGGGAACTTTGTGTTTATTTTAGGCTTTTAAAAAGTTAAAAACAGATTATAAATCAATGTATATTGGTTACTATGGTGATTAATCTTCAATTTTACTTTTTAAACAATTGAGTATATTGTATAAAAACAACAAGACACTTATCGAGGAAGTAAATAGTAATCATAGTAGTAATGACTGAAGAGGGTAATTGAAAATTATTGTTTTTTTTTCTAATTTAAATTGTCTAAATAATAATAATAATAATAATAATAATAAGTAGGCTTTAACCTTATGGTAAGAGAACGTTTACCATTGTGCTGAAAAGCTACTTCATATGTATATACACTGATAAAAATGAGAAAAAAAACAACAACCAATTATGGAGTATGAAAATTAATTACCTGACCAAGTGTAAATTCTATGAAATTTCTTCATTGACAAACATCAATGTGAATGTAAACGTGAATTGTTATTTCATTCATGCTCAACTCGTCTCAGTGTAACATCAATAATGAGATCAGTTGTGTGCATCAAACACTTTTCAATCCTACCTAAAGTTATAATAATATAGTCACTAGGTACTATTTGCTATCTGTTGAATTAATCTAGTTAGGAGAAAAAGTGATTACTTAATTGGGATATTTTGAAAAAAAAATCTTACTGTACTACAAATTCATTGTGGCGTATGCTACTTATGCTGACAGATATAAGTAGTATGTAGCACCGATCAGAAATCAAATGCCTGTGAGCTGAAGAATGAAATACAGGAAAGAGAGAAGAGAACCTGAAGCAATCAAAACAACAATAGGAATGAAGCGACAATAAAGTTTGAGAGACAACTGATAAGTGATGTGTAGTTTTCATACCTTACAAAAAACACTCTGTAGTTTTGCATTAAACAATGAATTGGTTATCCTTACCAAGTCTTCATTCGTAAACACAAGAAATTAGATTTCATTTGATCAGTTTAATAGAAGAATGGTTGAATTTTCCTTCAAAAAAAAGAAGAAGAAAATTCAAGTCTCAATCTTAGATAACACCATAAATGCACCTATCTGAAGAGTTAAAATAAAATAGCTATATCAGTATAGGGTTGTGAAGAATATTAAGTTTTTAACTGAGATTACGAATTGATTAATGTTAGAATATCATCGGAAACCTGGAAGTACTGGAAGTACCGTTTCGACCTATTATGGGACTCCTCGTGGATTAATTGAATTTAGACACCATTGAATGTCGGCCAGCTCAGTGGTCTAGAGTTTAAGCGTTTGTGCGCGAAACTAAAGGCCCTGAGTTCGAACCCTGCGAGCGGGATAATGGATGCGCACTGTTGAGGAGTCTCACAATAGGTTAAAACGGCCGTTCAGTGCTTCCAGGTTTCCAATGGTACTATTTATAAATACTTGTACCATCTTGATGGTGGTTGTTGTAGTTCTCGAAGTCTCAGCTCCGTACAATAGAACTGCCTTGACGTTCGTATTGAAGATTCTCACTTCGATATTAGTTGAAAATTGTTTTGAGTTCCATATGTTCTTCAGTTGTAAGAATGCGACCCTTGCTTTGCCAATCCTTGCATTTACGTCTGCATCTGAACCTCCGTGTTCATCGATTATACTTCCCAGGTTTGTGAAGAATTCTTCATCTTCCAGAGTTTTGCCATCAAGAGTGATTGGATTGCTGTTCTCTGTGTTGTATTTGAGGACCTTGGTTTTCCCCTTGTGCATGTTAAGGTCTACTGATGGTGGTCTGACATTAATCGGTTCATGATTTCAGTCAAAAAATAGTTATATCCTATTTTGCCTGATTTCTACATTTGATTTGAAGTATTTACAAGAGAATGATATTTCTATTTTTAATAAGTTTACAAAATCGTCTTTGATAAATAATAATTGATTATCGATTTTTTATTATGATTAATTTTCAGCACGAAACCAGTCTACATTCTTCTTCCTCTTCTTCTTCGTTTTTATTTTTTTCCTACAATTCTCGTTATCTTGTGTTTTTTTTTCATTCCTTCAGATATAATGTACGTTCTATGTTTCAATTTTTTTATATCCCAATCTAATTTCATGAACACATACACATTTATATAGAGATATGTTTATAGACAAACTAATAGAACTATGTACTATTCCATCTATTATTCACCTCTTAGTTTTGTTCCTTCTCTCTCTCTCTCTCTCTCTCTCTCGCTTTTCCTTTCTCTCTCTCTCTTTTCCCTTCTCTCTCTCTCGCTCTCTCGCTTTCCCCTTCTCTCTCTCTCTCTTCCAATCTGTTTTAATTTATTTTACCTGAAGAAATCTTAAACTTTCTATTGATATTATTGTGAAATGGTAATAATAATGATAATGATGGACAGTTTATATATAAATGGGATGAAACTAGAATTACTCCTATTTAATAATGAAGAATTATAATGTTTTTTCGTTTGAATACACAGATTGTGTGATTGTACAAAAGAAAAAAAGGAAACACATTGGAAAGTCTAAATCTTTCTTCTGTGAAGGACATTTCCTTTTTCTTTTTTTTAATACATCCATATGTATGTATGTATTAATAGATTGAAAAATGAAGAATATGTAAAATGGACTTACTTTTCTTGTATCTTAGTGACCTATTCACATAACTTGTAATATAAATCTATTGATAGCCTATAGTGTTGACAAACTATATTGAGTAAATACTAAATGATATTAGATGGTGGTTGGAGGTAGTCGACAGGAAATCCTGAACCCAGGTTTCGTGCTACTTGGCACTCGTCAGCAAGGTGTACCTGTAATCTTTGAGAGAACTGGTGCTCTCTGGCGGGCTCGAGCCCGTGTCACCCAGCTTCACAGTCAGAGATGTTACCACTGAGCTATCCGAGCCACGACCGACCTTTTGTAGAACTGAGATGTAATCACAATTGATTGATCACTGGGTGGATAGCTATTGAGTTATAATATTTAATAACTTGCATACTACCTTATTCTAGTTAGCGTTTTTTAAGCAAGGTTGTTTTTTTTTACAGAATAGGCTTGGAATAGGTAGTAACTCTAGAAGAAATATAGATCAAATTAATCTGTTTACTGGTATGAATTTAAATTTTATTTGTCATCGATTCAAACCCAACCGTCGTTACTACCTTGACTTGGTGGTCGGGTTCGCCTATTGTGGTGAACCGGTCGAGCTATATTGGCTGGAACAAGTGTTCCTCAAGGTCCTACCATGCCAGACAGGTCGGTTGAAGAGTGATATGATTAAAAGCAGCGAACCCAAGGTCCAAGGGCGAAGTCATACTGCTGACTGTATAGAGGTGTGACGTCAGTAAGATGTTTCCTTCAGACAACCAACATAACAGCGATGCTGTCTTTCCACAAGGAGGGGTGGGGTTAGAAAAGGTCAACACTAAAAAAGCACACCTTGCCTTATCCCACAGATATCCGTCTTCGACGATAAGGTCTCAACAAGTACGGAGCTAACATGAAAATTACTCACCAAAAGGTCATATGTGACCGGCCTTAGACAGTTGTACCTTGGGCACTGCGGTTACTTTCTCAGGTCACTAACCTCCCCCCTAACCCAATCTCTTTTTCAGGTGCCTTCAGAAGAACCCTTTCATAGTGAGGAGAAACCAGGAATTTATAACTGTCCTTATACCTCTAACAGCACTCAAGATCGATATAAACAATTGATTTTTAATTTGTCATTTAAAGTAATAATCAATAAATAATCCTTTTTTTTCCTATTTTCATTTCAGCTTATTTTTTTTTACATTTTCTTAATCTTATCAATTCTTATATTTATTTAATAACTATGAATTTATTAAAATATACAATAAAAAGGAAACATTACAAAGTCACTATGAAATCATTACACAATATAAAACTAATTATTAGTTTATTATTATACTTTTATTCAATTAATTCACCTAAATGTTATGCTTATTATAATATGAATACAAAACATAATCCATTATCATCTGAAACAATATCAAAGAAGAATACATTGAAACAATATGATTCTACATTGAATAATTTTCATGATGAATATTCAGATGATACAAAACATGATCCATTAATAGATAATCATTTCATGATGTCTTCTTTGAATGATGTATTATCATCTTCATCACCATTATTATCTTCTTCGTTATTACCGTCATCATTATCATCTTCTTCTTCTGCATCTGCATCTCCATCTGCATCTTCATCATCATCTCATAGTGAAATAGAAACACATCGTTGTGAACCAGTTACATTAATATTATGTAAAGGAATGTATTATGAATATACAAGATTACCTAATATGTTTCATCATGAAACACAAGAAGAAGCTGGTTTAGAAGTATGTTTCTTCTAATAGTTTCAAATGTTTACTTTAATAATATATTGTTTACGAACGATTGAATTATGTCAAATAAGCTTAGATTGTAAACAATTAGTTAAGCTATCAAAAAAAATTAGTAGTGGATTTTGTTTGATGTTAACTGTGCTTAGAATTAAAACGGAAAAAGATCTAGAAATCAGTTACATTTTAGTCGACAATAGTTAGTATGATTTATCTTATAATATCATTCAGTGTGTGTCAGTGGTTTTAACTAAATAATTTACATCGTATTACAAGAGGAACACGATAAGCAACTTCATGACTGAAATTCATTCTCTTATATTTTATAATTTTAAACGATTCTTTTAAAGAGATTGTGCACTGCTGAAGAATCCTATACTAGGAAGAAACGGCCATCAGGTGACTCCAGGTTTTCTATTGTAGTTTAGCTTTAATTGACTCATGAATGCATATTTACAGTAAAATCGACTGCTACATTCAACTTTAAATATGATCGGCTTTACTGAACACGATAAGTTAAATGAAAGAGTTTCATATTCATTCTGAACAGTATCAATAACGCTACTTCACTGTGATTATTTATTTGTGCTAGAACTTACTTACTTACTTACTTACTCCTGTTACTGCTGATGGAGCATAGGCCACCGACCAGCATTCTCCAACCCACTCTGTCCTGAGCCTTCTTTTCTAGTTCCATCCAATTCTTGTCTATTTTTCTCATGTCTGTCTCCATTTCTCGGCGTAATGTGTTCTTTGGTCTTCCTCTCTTCCTTTGGCTTTGAGGATTCCATGTGAGGCCTTGTCTTGTGACGCAGTTCGGTGATTTCCTCAATGTGTGCCCAATCCACTTCCAGTGCTTCTTCCTGATTTCTTCCTCCACTGGGATCTGGTTTGTTCTCTCCCACAGTACGTTGTTGCTAATAGTGTCTGGCCAACGGATCCGAAGTATTTTGCGTAGACAACTGTTAATACACACCTCTATCTTCTGGATGATGACTTTCGTAGTTTTACAGGTTTCCGTCCCATACAGCAGAACTGTCTTGACGTTTGTATTGAAAATCCTGACCTTGGTGTTGGTTGACAGTTGTTTTGAGTTCCAGATGTTCCTCAGTTGTATATATGCTGCTCTTGTTTTACCTATCCGCGCTTTCTCATCTGCATTAGATCCACCCTGTTCATCAATGATGCTGCTCAAATATGTAACGGTTTTTAAATCTTCTCCGTCACGCGTGATTTATTCAGTGCATGCTGTGTTGTATCGGAGAATCTTGCTTTTCCCTTTGTGTATATTGATTTATGCTAGAAACCTTCATTATATTTGATAATGTTCAACAGAAGATTTAACTTATCTACTAACAATATATTCAATCATGGATTAAATCATTTTTGACAAAAGATTCTTTCTTTGTGAGTTCATTTACTAAAAACTATCTAGTTTATATATATTAAGTTGATAAACTTTTAAACTACAGAAAGTAATGTACATTCATTGCGTTCTAGTTTGAAACTCTTCGATAATGCACACTAATAACCTCAGTTAGGGGAATAAACCAAAGTATTACATAACTATCAAGTATATATTGTCAAATAAATGTAGCAATCATGAAAACATCAAAATCTAATCACTTTTATTATACTTAACTAAACGGATTAAATTCAAAGAAGCTTTAACTTGTGTAACAATAAATCATGAAACTTATAAATGAAGTAGAAATTATCCTATTCTGTTTTAGGCTTCTTTTATTACCCTTAAATTTTTTGATCAATATAATGTTGTTAATGTTTATCAGTTGTGGAATTTTCGTTTCTGGCATTATTTTGTGTAAAAAAAAGACTTAGTTGTTGCGTAATTCTTTTTGTTTGACTAACACATCTCAGCATGGATGCAAAATGTTTGACAAGTTTTGCCAACTTACGTAATTTATGGCGTTTTCTAGTCTTAGTCATGTTAGTAGATGCAGACTACTTGATTGAGTTCTGCATGACTATCGTAAAAAATGGTTGGAGACTCTGGGTGATCTGGCTCAAAATCGATCACAATGGCGTCGATGTATACACTCTTTGTCGTCCGTTAAATCGTGAAATTAAAATTAATTCATATCTTTCTTTCTACGAACTAATTCTTTCTTTCCGTACTATATCCTTACATAAGATCTTTTCTTTATATACCTCTGCCACCATGAGATTTGAATCGACAACTTCATTTCTATGCTGATGTGGTATGGCAACTCAAACTGGTATACGTTCGTACGAAGTTCTACGTTGTTACTGATCGACTGACTGACTGACATTTTTTCACTCTATTGTTTTATTGAAATAATTTTACATTCTTATATAATTTATTTTTTACTAGATTGGTATTCTGTAATGCGAAAAAAGGTTTTGGTAATTTCAATTACCATTTTGCATTCTCAAGTCATTTACGATAACTTTGAAGGTATGATGAGATAGTTGTCTTTTAATATAATTCTTGTAGTGATGAGTTTGTATTCATCAAGTAGTCATTATTTGTATGGAAGCTTTTGATATATTTTTCTGATTAATATCTTCTCGCAGGATAGGTTTATGTGTAGGGTTTTTCTCATAGCTTTTCAATATCAAACACAATGCAATCAAATCAATTGATTAAATGGTTTGAGTTAGACAGTACATTTTTAACTAGAAATGTTTCTAAGCATATTTTTCACTGTTTTCGACTTTTTGGGCTTCAATCACTCTCTTAGTTATTTCAGGTTTTCTGAAGTATGGATTGATACCTTAGTGGTTAAGCCTTCAGAATTTGAAGTATAAAGTTACTGGCTTGAATCTTGTTCAAATCAACTTCAGGTAACTACTGAATAGTATCATTAGCCCTAACAATTAAACTATAACTTGAATCCAAGTGTATGAATCTATACCTGAAAAATAATTCAAAATATAAACTTTCTTTTTTTGAATTCATTACTTGTACAAAATAAATTAACATTCGATTCTAAGTACTATGCACTTCATACTAATATACTTCGTAACAGTATAGTTCAAAACTCTTAAACGTCAATGATAGGAAGTAGAACATAATGTTTCATTGAAATATCTATCTAGATAAGGCATATATTAAAAGAAAATCGGTGTTTATAATTATAGTCAGTAATAATGAAGCGAATAGAAAATACTGGTAGTCGGCCTATATTCCTTTATGATAGAGGTAATAGACGTAAGTAGTAAGTAGCTGTATAATCAAGATATAGTTTGGAGGCCCTTAATTTTGTGGTCATTTGGCTCGAACGATGTTGTCGAAAGGGCTCTCCACTTTAGTGGCCTGAGATCTGACTTCAAGGAGATTGTAATGAAAGTTTGTTATCAGCTATCCTTGTATATAATCATCGACTTAAATCACGTTATTCAATAACGGAATTAAATAACTCAACGAGAATGGACTTTGGAATACATATATTTTGTATATAAAGCAAATGGAATAGAACAAAGCAAAACGACGCGCAATGGAGATGGCAGGTAATCCAACTCTCCTTTAACCAAGCATTAATCAATATCTATAGTTACAGCAAAGTAACTTACAGACATGTGATGAGTAATGGGATAAGAAATGTACACACACCTACGCACTCATATAAAAACAGTCAAGAATTGATAAGCGAATAAATAACAAAGTCAGAATGTGACTCAAGTAGAATGAATAGACTAAGCTGTCCGATAGCTAGAAATAAGGTATATGGACTTAACATAATAACCGACATTACAATAGTTTGTTATCAATAATTAAGGAGAAATAAAATCTTCGATATCAATTACAAGTCTCTATGCATAAGTATCATTAAATTGTTTTCTATTATAAAATTATTTTTTTTTATTTATTTTTATGATGTGAAACTATATTACTTATTTAAAGTAGACATAAAAAAACATGGGAAAGTTTTGTTCTTTATATACGTAAATATGATGATGATAATAATAAAATATATTTGCATATTATTATCATTGTTATCATTATCCCTATTATTATCATTATTATTATTAGGTGTAGTAGTAGTAGTAGTATTAGTGGTAGTAATAGTAGTATGGTTTAACAAACCATAAAAATAGGATAGATATTTCAAAATCTAAAGAGAATAGACCACACATGCATTTATTCATCAGTGCAGATATTTTATCTAAATAATTAGATATTTAGAAAAGATTGAGGATTGTTTGATAAATAGGTACATATATAACATTACTGATAGGAGTATATTAACATGGGATAGGTGAAACTATAGATTTACTATTTTGGTATTATTATTATTATTATTATTATTACTCATAGTGATAACAAAACGAATATTGGATTTTATCAGTAGTATAATAAATAATATGTGTACATGATAAGCATAGAATACATAGTTCAATGTTCTATGTCATTCTTCAAAGACAATACCATTTATTTATATTTTATTTATAACAAGATATACAGAAGAATATGATTACGTACATAGTTTTTGTTATAAAGTTATACTGATAGCATATTATTTATTGTTACTAAGGCTTTATTGAAGATAAACTTTATATGGATACAGAAATGAAGTAATAAAAATTACCGAAAGTTTAAGTTGGGTATTCACTAAATTCACTTGATATTGTTTTACTTGAATATTCCCATTGATGTTGAGCATTGTAATTGATCAGTCACTTATTGACATATGTACATACTGTGATTCGATAGTACTTTAATTCACAAGCTTGTAAGCAAATATGAATAATGGTTAGCAGTGGAATCCAGTTTTACGAGCGTTTCATCCTATTTGGGATTCGTCAGCTGGATGTATTTACATTCAGAGTTTATATTTACTCTGGGACTTGAACCCAGTACCGTTCACCTTAAATGCTATTGAGTTATCCACTTAGCTATTTAAACATGGGACATTAGATTCAAGTGCAGTAGGTTGACAAGTCCCAAAGAGGACGAAACATACACCACTGGTATTCACTGTTCAGAATTATAATCATCATTCACCTTATTTATT